AACTCCTGGGCACCGCCATGTCTCTCAAACCGGACACTTAAGTCCCATCTGACTCCTTTCTGGCCTTAATTTGCATATTGCTTTCTGCCTTCTTTTCCATCTACATTCTCACTTGTTGAGAATGTAGTCATCCTGAAAATGTCAATATCCACCTCTTCCATGAAGGCTTCTCCGGTGTCCTCAATGTGGATATGGCTTTCCTTTAGCAGGACCATCAAACACAGAGGCCTTTCCTGTAGCCATGCCTCAGTAAGCCTTGTAACAGAGAAAAGACTCATTACCTCTCTGAGATCCAATCATGAGTATAGTCTTTGTAAAGAGAAACTTCTGTTACCGATTTTTCTCTCTCCTTCAACTATTATAGCACACTCCCTAATAGGGTGGAATTGAATTTTTAAAACCGCTGTCAACAACAGCTTCTGAAAATGATGCAGGAAACATTTTATCTGCTCATCGACTGCATGCACAACCCTTAAAGAAAAAATACTCTATCAATCAATACCTTACCCTAAAGCATACTGGTATTTTCATCATCAAAATCAGGCTCTTCAGAAATGAAAGGAAATGGCGGAAAACCTTAGGACGGTGGGTGTGATTGTGGTTTGCTTCCACCAGCTATGGCAAATCACAGGAGGAGTCGCCAGGTGAGGATATTTTGACCTGCAAGGAAATAAGGACTTACTATGGTTTACCGGAGAAGAGGTGTGATGTAAGGAAAGCAATGTTTCCAAAATACCCTTCTGGACAATGAACACGAACAAATCCAGAGGGGAGCGTGAGGGGTCACTCAGGATGTGGCCCCGCAGCGCCACGGGAGGAGGAGCAGGAGAAGAGCTACCGCGGCAGAAACCGAGACGGGAAGGCCAAGTTGAGACAAAAAAAAAGGTTTAAATGTGAAAGGACAACACGAGTCCATTTCGGGCAGCAACAAAGGAAAGGAGAAACCCAGCATTTGGAAATCAGTTCCCTCATGTAACTTTTAACCGCGCAGTAAGTTCTCACTTAGCATCATGGAGAGGTCCTGTGACTTGAAGTGAGATGACGTGTCATAAAGTCAAGTTTACCGTAGGCTGATGGATACGAACAAGAGTTAAGTTCCTACAGCATCTCATCAACATTCAGGAAATGACACCGACCAAAATGACCTTATTCACAGATTTGCCACATGAGATCCATCTGACGTCACCAACAGCTGGCTGCGGGCCCAGAGCCCTCTGCATGCCTCCATCTAGCAAGCTGGGGAAAGCCTGCCTGTCTCATTCAGCGAACCTGCAGCCACTCCACCATGGCGCATGCATCTTTATCACCATTCCCTAGCACAGAGCCAGGCATACAGTAGGCCAGAGAAAAAACGTGTAGAACTGAGCTGATGATCGTTTGTTATAAGTAAAAGGAAGAACTTGTGCTTGCAAACACACCAGGGAGCCTTCCCCAGGGAACAGTGTTACTTCCTTCTCAGAGTGTTTGCAGCTACAGCGTGATATCATTAAGGGCAGAGTTCAACAGTATTTTGATTGTTCCACAGCATCAATCACAGTCATGAACATGCAAGGGATATTCAATTGGAATAATTTTTTAAAAGAACAGACAATAATAAGTTCATCTTTCTCATTACTTGTATATTATCATAAAATAATTGAGTATTAAGATAGACTCCAATGTCCTCAAACCCTTTTGAGATTTTTCCCACTCAGGAATGTTCTTTCGATGTAGAGAAAACTACTCCAAAAGGAGACATGGTTGAACTCTTCTTCTGAGAAAGGACTGGAGAGAAAGAAATGAAGGTTTTCTTGGAATCTGGTGTGAAAGGAAGAAGAGTTAGGCTGCAGCTTATCCTAGTCAATTAAACAAAGTCTCTCTGAAAATGCAAAGCTAAAAGTACAATTTGGTTATGAAAATGTATCTTTTCCTCAGTGATTAGCTGCTTTCAGTTTTAGTGGTTACTTTCAGTCATCATGATTTCTATTCACACTCTTTTGGTTAATCTTAACAGTTCTCCTAAACTAGATTAATTTATAAATGAGTCATATTTTGTATGACAAGTTATAATCTATTCATCCAGTCCAGGGGTCAGCAAACTTGTGTTCAGGGTCAGAGAAGTCATTATTTTCAGCTGTGCAGGCCACATGCTCTCTGGCATGACGTCTTAGTTCTGCTGTGGCCCTGGGACACCCCCATGATAACACAGTAACAAATGAGCATGGTTGTGTTAAAAAAACATTCACACAACAAAAAAACAGGCCATGAGCCAGAGTTAGCCTATGGCTATAATTTGCCAACCAGTACTTTATTCCATTATTCTTATTTTTATTATGAATTTTTTCAAATATAAAAAAAGAGAAAACCATATATTGTCATTTAGATTTTATAATTGTTAACTAGAGGCCGGGTGCACAAAATTTGTGCATGGGGAGGGGAAGGGAGAAGGCAGGTGTCCTTCAGCCCAGCCTACACCCTCTCCAATCTGGGACCCCTCGAGGGCAGTCAGACTTCCCTCTCACAATCCAGGACTGCTGGCTCCCAAACGTTTGCCTGCCTGCCTGTCTTCCTGATTGCCCCTAACTGCTTCTGCCTGCCAGCCTGATCACCCCTAACCACTCTCCTGACAGTCTGATCAATGCCTTACTGCTCCCCTGCCGGCCTGATTGTCCCTTACTGCCCTTCCATGCCAGTCTGGTCACCCCTAACTGCCCTCCCCAACCAGCCTGGTCGCCCCCAACTTCCCTCCCCTCCAGGCCTGGTCACCCCTGTCCTCTCCTGCAGCCTGGTCATCCCCAACTGTCCTCTCCTGCAGCCTGGTCATCCCCAACTGCCCTCTCCTGCCAGCCCAGTCACCCCTAATTGCTGTCTGTTCCTGGGCATACAATCTTCCCGCTAATATTTGCTAGGACAGGTCATTATTGGACACACACTTTCTTTTTTCTTTTTTAATTTTTTTTATATCTTGACAGTCACCTTCTGTCTTTCTCAACTAATAGGAAATCTGGCCTATTTCCTTTTATTTTATTACTTATCCCAGCAGCCCCTGCAGACCCCTCCTGAGAGGAGGCCCGGCACATGAAATTCGTGTATGGGGAGGTGGGGGGCAGGGGGGGAGGAAAGGTGTCTCTCAGTCCAACCTGCACCCTCTCCAATCTGGGACCCCTCGAGGGATGTCCAACTGCCCGTTTAGGCCCCATCCCACCGGGCAGTTGGACATCCCTCTCACAATCCAGGACTGCTGACTCCCAACTGCTCGCCTGCCTATCTTCCTGATTGCCCCTAACCACTCCCCTGCCAGCCTGATTGATGCCTAACTGATCCCCTGCCCAGTCTGTTTGCCCCTAACTGTCCCCCCCTGCAGGTCTAGTCACCCCTAACTGCCCTTCCCTTCAGGCCTGGTCACCCCTAACTGCCCTTGCAAGCCTGGTCCCTCCCAACTCCCCTCCCCTACTGGTCAACTTGTGGTGGCCATCTTGTGTCCACATGGAGGCAGGATCTTTGACCACATAGGGGCAGCCAATTTGTGTGTTGGAGTGATGGTCAATCTGCATATTACTCTTTTATTAGATAGGATAGAGGCCTGGTGCATGGGTGGGGGCCAGCTGGTTTGCCCTTGGGGCATGGGGCAGCCTGGGCAAGGGGCCTGTGATGGTTTGCAGGCCATGGTGACCCAAGTGGAGGCCCTGGTATCTGGCTTTATTTATCTTCTACAATTTATTTATCTTCTACAATTATAGCCTGGAAAGCCTTCTGCTCGCTCCGTGGCAGCAGCCATTTCTGTTGGGATTTATTTATCTTCTATAATTGAAACTTTATAGCCTTGAGTGGAATGACCGTGTTCTGTAGAAGCTCGACTAGCCCTCCTTTCGAGAACGTTTCTAGCATCCTCTGATCATCACCAACTTTTATCCAGTCCAATCACTCTTCTGTCCCAAACTGCCTCCTCAAATCGCATCGCCTCCTGCTGCTCACAATATGCATCCTGGACATTGCGGGGTGCAGAGTGCATCTCCCAGAAATGCTGTCAAGCGCTGCCTTGTGAGGGTTGCTATTTATTTCCACAAACAGCAGGCTGCTGGGTCCCCGTTTGCATGTGTGGGCAGCTGCTCTGCGGTGCGCTCCCCATGTTCTAGTTGGCTCGCTCCCCCGGTCCTTGGCTCTGAGCTTGGGAACCGCGCTGACTTCTCACCCACCTCACCTGATGAGCAGCTTTCTGCGCTCCCACTGGCAGGTCAGGCACTGATCCTCACTTAAAAAGTTACCAACACAACTTTAATGAGAGGGTTTATTGCTTTATCTTCCTCTGACCCTGAGAGTTTACTGTTTTTTACCCCGCTTGAAAAAGGCAACACTTGAAAGAGAGAAAACGTGTTGGGGAGAGAAGATAGTCATTCAGAGAAAAAGCAGAGGCTGCCCTGGACGTAGGCTGGCCGCTTGCAGGCAGAGGACCTGGTAATTGTAAGTATCACGGTTGTGCTTGTGGGAACTAATGCTTTCAGTAACTCTCACTCTCCACGTGGGCACACTGTTTGCCCCACAGAGAACTTTGAAAGTGACTGACTATCCCCAGCATCCACGGGAAGGGGAAGTTCAAGGTTATCTGCTGCGCCTGTGGGTCTGGCCAGGAGCAGGGGCCACACGGTTCCTCTGAGGAATGGGCGCTTACATCCAGAGCACACCGCCTTTCTGGTGCGGGAGGGAGGGAGTCCGCAGCCTGTGGGTAGAACTAAGGGTGGAAGCCCCTGCCAATGTGTAATCCCTCCTGCCTCTGCCTGCTCAGTGCCAGCCTCAGACAGACACCCTGCAGGGAGGAGCGAGCCATCCCTGTCCTCCCTGAGCAGCTGGGAGGAGGGTGTGTCCCGCAGCTTCTCCCTGCGAGCGATGATGATCTTGTCAAGCATTTTAGAGAGACCAGCCCAAGTTTTAGGGTGGGGATCCAGACTGGTTATACGTACCTGCGGCCCTTCTCCCAGCAAAGGCACAGACACCTCACAGCCTGCATGTAAGAACACCTACTGAGCAGTGATTTACCCCAGCCAGGCCAGCGGGAGGAAGGAGGCGGAGAGAGAAGAACCGGCAGGCTCCGGCCTGGATGTAAGAGCGGCGATGGGCTGGCACCTCGGGACCGCGGTGGCGCTGGTCACCCTTCTGGTGAGTGGCTTCTGCCCCAAACCCTGCGCGATGGTTCACGCTGCGGACCGGTGCGCACTTTTCGGAAAGTGCCAGTCGGCGTTATTTCTAGCCTAGACCGGTCAAAAGCGTGTTAATGACAAGGTGACTTTATGGGCCAGATTTTCAAACAGTGTTTCTCTCTTTAATTGAAGCCTGGAGAGCACAGTAAGGCGACAGTGTCAATCATCATCTGTCACCTCTGCCATGCAGCCTCTGCTGTCGCTCTGAGAAACACCGGCTGGGGGAGTCCCCCGCTCCCTCAGGGCCCTGTGCTGCTCAGATTCCCTCTCACAGCCACAGCGCAGGCCTGCCCCGGTTTCTAACGTGAACATTTTCTTCGTTCTTTTGGCATCTTTGCCGGTAGATTCACTAAAATATTTTGAACATAAAAATGGGATCCGAATACATTCAGATCATAGCTGTCTGTGACTGGCCTCACTATCCAGTTAGCCTCATCGGCTGTGAACGTGGCTGGCATCCGTATCTCTAATATCAAGACCCCACACTGCTTCACTCTGAATTTATTAAAAAATAAATTTTTACTTAAAAAATGACATTATGGGAGATTTAGAAATGACATAGTAGGGGACGGTAGGGCTATAATTAAGAAATAAGTATAATTACTACCATACTAGCTCTTGCTCATGGAAAATCACTAATGACTATGATACACAAGCTGTACATTGATGACCAGACAAATGGAATGAACTTACACGTTATTAGTTTTCTCTCGTTAAAGACAACCCTCAGCAGAACGCTAATGTGCTGCCTCAATTTCACCGAAGTCCAGCATTTCTGAATTGCAGTCTAACAGTAAGAGCAAGTGCCGCTTACATCACGATCCAATTTGGCAGGATGCGTGTGGTGCTGTGGTTCATATTTGTCTCTACTTGCTTAATTTTCAAACTGGATTGCTGGGTTTCATAATAACAAGTTAGATCTTTGGTTCAAAGTATGCTGGTTAGTTTGAGCTCAGTTTATTAATTAAGGTCTGTCACCATCGGTGGGTTTCACTGTAAGTGAGCATCAGTAAGCTGGGAGCATTAGTACAAGCTGCCATTTTTTTTTCTATGATTTTATGTCAAGTTGCCCTTTAAGCATGAGCTCTCTTCCATTGATGTTTGAATGGATCTTTAGGGTCAGGTGGTGTCACAGCGTGGGACGTGTCAGGGATTGCTGAGCGTTACGCAGTATGTCATTTGAACAGAGGAGCATTTGTACATTGTGAAATGATAAAATACTTTATTTTTCATTTCATAGGAATTTGGTCTATTAAGTCCTATGATACAGTTGATTCAAGGTTTACTCATTGAATAGCTTTCATTGAATCTGTGAGATATGTTATTTCATTATTTTATGATTATTTTTAATTAATTACATCCTATAAAGTTTCTTTAAACAGTCCCTTTCCAATTAGTCATTCTGCAGGGTCATGTATCATTTTATCCAAATGTGTACTTACTGACCCTTCTCTCCCTGGAGAGGCTTCTGGTCGTTTGTATTTTATTTGTTGAGTCTTGATAGTTTTCTTTTGTGTGGATTATTTGTTTATTCATTTATCTGTTTGGTTTTTGCCATATTTTACTTTCGAATCAACGAAGTTTCTCATATGCCTTATAAAAATTATGTTTCAAAGTACTTATTCTATGGTGAATTAAAATGCTTCACTTTTACATTATTATAACACTTTTATAAAACGCTTCGCTTTCTGAGGTTTGCAAAAATTACGATTCATTTTTGCTACTGGTTTCACCAGATAGTTCAGATAAATGTCCTTTGGAGTTATGCCGTCTGTGTTTGCTTTGAAATACTCTTTTTCTGAAAATTAACCACCACCATAGTCAATGCTTCCATCACCTGTCTGCTGGCCTCGCTGTGAATGTTTGCTCTTACAAAAGGAAGAAGGAAGGGAGGAAGGAGGAGGGAGGTGGGAGGGGGGAGGGAGGAGGAAAGGAAAGAGGGAGGGAGTAAAGGAAGTAGGAGGGAGGGAGGGAAGGAGGGAGGGAGGCAGAGGAAGAAAAGAGCAGGGGGAAGGGAGGGAGGGAGAGAGGAAGGAAGGAAGGAAGGAAGGAAGGAAGGAAGGAAGGAAGGAAGGAAGGAAGGAAGGAAGGAAGGAAGGAAGGAAGGAAAGAAATTCTGTAAAGTCTTCCACGTTGATAAGTGAGAGCCTGCGAAGGGAGCCCAGTTGGACGTTCTGAAAGGCCTAAGACATGGGGACTGTGGTGTCTTTAATGCGAGTCCACGTGAGAGCTGACAGCCATGTTTGCCAGCATGCTGTGCCGTCTGCTCAGTGCACCGAAGGGACAGGCCTTGTGAGTTAGCGGTGAGCTCTGGAGAGTGACGACGAAGAGCCTGCTCTGACAGCGACCAACATTGCTACAGGGTGACGCCATTCTGTAGCCAGTCTCTGGGACAGACAAGAGCTTACACCTGTTATAGCATGGCGAGCCAAATAAATGTTATTGGCTCTGCATTTATTTTTCTTTCCTCTCTGTTTCCATAATATCAGTGTGTGGAGGAGTATTCTAGGCCAGAGAACAATGTTACCCGTGCACCAGTGTAAGAAGTCTCTTAGGACAGTTGTAGCCATGGTATGAGGTATGGCACTGTCACTGTGGGGAAGCAAACCGGAACCAGGAGAGTGTTTATAGTCCCAGTGATTTCTAAACATTACTTGTAGCTTTGGCGGCTCCAATCAATGCACTTTCAAGGTGTCTTTTCCTTTAAAGGCCAACTTCTACGGCAACGAACGCAAATCAGCCATTCTTTATGCCAAGAATGATCCTGTTTCTCAGGCACGTCACATTAGCCTCGCTCTGTGGTGGGCAAACTGCGGCTTGCCAGCCACGTGGCTCTTTGGTCCCTTGAGTGTGGCTCTTCCACAAAATACCACAGCCTGGGCGAGTCTATTTTGAAGAAGGCATTAGAAGTTTAAGTTTAAAAAATGTGGCTCTCCAAAGAAGTTTCAGTTGTTGTGCTGTGGATATTTGGCTCTGTGGGCTGATGAGTTTGCCGACCTCTGGCCTACCTTCTTCTCTTTCCATGGTTAATATTTCATCTAAAAAAAACAACCCTGCAACCACCTGATAAACTAAGTCCACTCTTTCAACTTAGCGGAAGGTATTTAGGATTAAGTAGGCATTTATCTAAGTATTTCTCAGAACTCACGAGAAAATACACAAAAAATAATAGAGGGGTGGGCAAAAGTAGGTTTGCAGTTGTATGCGAAACAGTTTATTCTTGTATTGTTATTTATTCATTATTGTATTGTTTATTTGTATCACAACTGTAAGCCTACTTTTGCCCACCCTTGCATACGCTTTATTACATAGTCCATCAGCTTGTGTGACCTGGACACCTTCAATCCCCATAACTGCTTCCTGGTGCGAGCATAGGGGAGAGCTGGCACACTCTCAGACTGGCCAGAACACACGCAAACAGGGGCGTCCTTACGCCTTCTTGAGCACAGATTACGACGACGATGCTTATTACAGATATTAGCATTTCAATAAACTTTTTTCTAGAACATGAAGAGGTGTTTCTGCTCGCCTGTTTAGGTAACATTTACAAACTGGATTGAACAAGACCATTGCCATTTACACAGCGCTCTCAACTGCAGGTTGTGGACACATTCGGGACCAGAACTCCCTTCGCCTTAGGCAAAGGGGCGGGCACATGTCTCACCATTTAATTGGCTTTGGTTGCCACCCAGTGAACATGTCGCCATGCCTGGGTTAGGCAACAGAGAAGCCCAACAATGCCGCCTTGGATTTGAAGGCCGGGCCCCTCAGGGCCAGGAGAGGCCATTCCACTGGCTCCTGAGTCCAGCAGAGCAGCCTGCTGTCCAGCCCCTGCTCTCTGGCAGCTCTCTGCCCTGCACATTCCCAGGGGGCATGGTCCCCTGTCCAGGAGGCACTGCCTGGGTGGGACCGGTGCCACTGGGCTGGCAGCTGGACGGCCACGCTGGGCCACGGGGAACTCCCTTCCAGAAGGCTGGGCACGCCGCCCCCGCTGACTATGCTGGGCATGCAAGTTCCTCTAGTGGCCTCCGACAGGGCCAAGTGGTTTAAATGCCAGGGGCTGCTGATCCTGCCCTCAACTGGCCTGGGGGAACAGAGCTCTGTGCTTCATCCCTGTCCACCAGGAAGCCACATCTCACCCACGATGGCGGCTGCTGCTCCTAACGCTCCCTGGCTGTGTGCGGGGCAGGCAGCTTCTGGCTCACTGGCTTTGCTCGCATGCCAGAGGGCACCAGGGGTGTCTGATCTCACAGCGTGGAGGCATCGGAAGGGAATTTGGGGACAGTTTCTATTTCCCTTCCCTCACACACTCCAAAAACATGTCTAGGTATTAAACATGGAAATGATCATGGTGAGGTTCCCTAGCACTTTCTCAAAGGTGTGTTATTACATTTATTTTACATTTCATCTAAGGCTTACTTACCATAAGGTCTTATTGCAGCCTTGGATCCACATAATACACATTCAATATTTATTTGTCAAACAAAATGAACCAGTGAACAAATAAAATAATTCAACCTACTCAGAAGTCAACGCCTGACCGGTAGCTTTCGTGCAAGTACAAAAGACAAAAGAGGACTTTTTTTTAACAGAAGCAAATTGTTATAAGTCACAAATTCATTGTTGTGGCCGCGATAAGAGTTAAATACATTAGAACTTGATGCTTAACAAAAACTGCCAAGTAACTGGAAGACCAACTCACAAGTATGAAATGGAAGAGGTTTACCTTGAAAAAATTATAAATTACTACTTTCAAGGCCATTTTGTTATATACAAAGAAATGTAAAATTCAGTATTAAAATGGGTTTAATTAGAGAATCATTAAAATTAGCATCAATTTTGTATTCTGTGGTCATTGGTGGTGGTGGTGGTGGTATGTGTGTGTGTGTGTGTGTGTGTGTGTGTGTGTGTGTGTGTGTTTGGTTGTTTTATTTGTATTTGGATTGGCTTCTAAATTAGAGATGAAGGGAAGAGTCACTGAGGATTCACTTCAAGTGACTTCTTTATCACTCTTAGAGTTTGGGGATTAAAAAAAGACTTTAGTCTCACATACAAATGAGGAAGCTGAGGCACAGAATGGCTGAGTGACTTACCCCAATGCCCATATCCAGTGGGCAAGAGAGCTGAGATGTGCTCAGTTAGCCTGACAGCCCTGTATTCATCTCTAATAAATCTCCTTCACAGCCTTCCCAGAATGTATTCCCAAATTCAGAACCCAAACCACTCCCCCAATTACCCGAAAAATGGTCTCACCTTACTGGAGGGACAGGGTCTGGACCATCCAGTATGATGTCCTTCAATTTCCCTCTCCTTTTTAATCTCCATCTCTCCACTCTTCCCCAGCCTGTCTCTAGAGTCCTTTCTTTCTGCCGACCCCCTCCTGGCCATCACAATACCTCCATGCAATGCTTTCTCAACCTTTCCTGCTGCAACCCACACTATCCTCCTCTCCCCTTTCTCAGCCTTCAAAAATCCGCATCTCCCTCTCCCCAAACATCTCCTGGGACACCGTCTAACTCTGCTACTGCTTCTATTTCCTCACACCACCAAATCTCTCCCAAAAGAGTGGCACCTTTATGTTCTCTTCTCTATCCTGTCAGTCAGGGAGAGCTTGTTCCACCCAACTGAAGGCTTTCTCCTGAAGGTCACAGAAAACCTGAGGATTTTCTCAGGATTCACTCTGTTCACCTTTTTTTATATCATCATCGGACACATGTGCACACTCTATGTCTTTCAGTTCTGCCTTCCTTTGGTAACCATGGCATTGCATTAGAGTTTCCTCCTATTTAGTTGGCCACTTCTTTTCTATCTCGTTTGCTGTTTCTTGTTTATTGTCATTGTTCCCCGACGTGTAAATATAGGAATTCCCCTGGTTTCACCCTCAGCCTCGGGCTGATGCTTTGCTGTATTCTCTACTTTAGGGATCTCAAATTCTCCCACGATTGAAACCATCTCACATGAACAGGTGTCTCTCAAATCTGAGTATCAGGCCAGAACTATTGTTCATGGTGCTGACACATATTTCAGTAGCTGAACATCTTCCCTGGGCATATCTCTAGCATCTGGGTTTGTTCTAACCTGCCAGATCCTGCTTCTGCCTTGCTCCTGATCTCCAGGTTTCCAGCTGCCCCCGCCCGAGACTCATCCCTCCCTTCACGCCCACATCCCACCTTTTCTCCACCCCCGTGGATTTCAATCAAGCAGTGTCTCTCCTTTGATCTTTCCCAGTCTCTTCCCACCACCACTGCTGCTCCTTATCTCTGAGCTGATTTGATGCAGAAACTCAACTGCTCCTGGCCTATAATGGCTGCCTCCCATCAATTGCTGTCAGTGATCTTTAAATTCACAATTTTATCATCCATTTCCCATGACCAAGAAACCTGAATATTTTCCTATTGCACACAGGGATTTGGTGTTAGAATTAGAAAGATAACTGTATATAATCCAGGCAACTCCTGTCATTTTATGAATGAGAATTTAGGAAGCACATTGAAAGTTTTCTGACTGTACCAAATGCTCTTTTTATCTCTTTATTTTGCCTTCCAAAGTCAAAGAGGGACTATGTTTCAGAGATTACTTTAGACTGAGCAAAAGGCAATATGGTTATGTCCACACAACATATTTTTAAGCAGACCCAGCAGTTTTTAATTACTAATCTAATTAAGAGCCTGCCTGTACGGTGAAACCTGCTTGGTCTTCTGCCTAAGCTGCATCTCGTGGGAAAAATAATGACCCAGCTTCTTCAAGTCGGAAGGTTAGTCATCTGGCCAGCTCTCCAAAGCAAACAGCGGCACCAACACTTCATGGGGGAGGAAGTGCCAGACAGATAACAGGTGCACACTCAATCGGCAGCTATGAAGAAATGGCAGGCAAATAAGGTGCCCCACACCCCCACCCAGCACCCACAAACGAGAGGACCAAGTGCTCATGAGTTCAAGGTAGCAAGGAGCACACAGCTGCGTTAGCATGGGCTCATCCCCACGCCCAAGTCAGATTCTACAGTGCCATTTCAGTTCCTTCTCCAAACCACGTGGGCCATTTACTTTTCTTACACACATACACACACACACCAGTATCACTATTATTGTTGTTATTATTGTATGTAATATGAGATTAGATTCCTAATCACAAGAATAATATGAGATTAAAATCAGGATTTTTTTTTTAATTATCAAAATTGTAATGGCAGTCATCTATAGTATATTATATTTTATTTACGTGAAATAGGCTATCTTGCACTTAATTGTAAATACCACATCTAAGCACAAATTTAGACTGAATTGTATTAGATTGTATTTAGCCATAAATTAATATGGAAATCTTGGTTTTCTTCAGCTGTAAAGTGAAGATTATTATAGTATTGACCATGTGTACTTGTGAAGATGCAATGCATGGGTTTCTTTAAACATGTTGTCTAGTATTTAGTTATCATTTAGGGAATTGCAATGGTGATAATGATCATTATTAACATTAAATATATTCCATGAGTATGTAACTCCTATAATAAAAATATTATCATTTTAAATTACTCATATTAACCATAATATAAAGTTTCTTGAATTATCAATTATGATTATTTTAAAAAATTTAAACAATAAAATTATATTTTTAATTTAATGGTGAAATTAAAATTCACTATAAAAAGTAATTTACTATATTTTGAAATTACTATTATGTATCAGTATTTTTTTTAATGCAAACCATAATTTTATTTCATTAGTAACACAGATAAAGCCTGTTTGCAGTAACAGTTTTCACACTTTGCAAGTCTAACAAAAGTGCAAGGAAGAATTAAAAATGCCCTATTTAGGCAGAACTATGAACTAAAGATTCAAGCTGTATTAACTAATTCTAAGCGCAATTTAAAACTTAATAAATGCAAACTAGCCTTCAAATTCACACCTAAGTTTTAGGCAAGTGTTTACAAGGACTTAAGTATGTTGATATATTACGTATATTACATAAGTGTTTGTGTTTTTACTAGCACCACGCTCTAACCAACTGAGCTAACCGGCCAACTAAGTGTTTGTGTTTTTAGACATGCTTTTGGTGTTTAGAGAAAAGTAAGTTAAATTGCCCGGTTTTATCTGGACAAACCATTCGCAAAGATCCGGCCAGCCGAGCCGGGCCTGCAGCCTCTGCCTGACTCACTCGCTGATGCAGAGGATGGCGATGAGGCCGCCTGCCCAGCTGTTCCCCAGAACCCTCTCCGGCCATGGAAGGGGTGTTTACTGTTCGCACCCTCTGCTGTCCAGGGCGAACAGTAAAACACCCAACATGAGCTCACTTTTTACACAGAGAGCACGGTTTGCTTCTATTTTAGAACTGCATGGTCTCACTAGAGGCCCAGCACGCGGCTGAAATCGCATGAGGAGGCACCGCGGGGACCCGGGACCCACCTGAGCCGCGCAGTGCCAGCCGCGTGGTGCCCGCTGGGGGGAGGCAGGCGCTCCTTGTGGTGTCTCCTCCGGACCCCAGCCCAGCCTCCCCACGGCCCCTGGGGCTGGGGCAGCACGCAGGCCCCTCCTGAGCGGTTGTGAGGCCCGGTTCATGAGCATATTCCCTGTGTGTATATAGAAAGATTTTCACCCAAGTACAAAACTCACCATCTTAAGATTTTCAAGAATAACAGAAAAGCATCCATTTAGAATTGGACTGTGAGGAAGCAAATGTTTCGGAAGCTCTCTGGGTACTTTCTGCTTCGTATTCTTTCTTCCCCCCAAAACCTTTTCTCCTGTTTCCACCTGTGACCACTCAGATGCTAACACTGTAGTCAAAACTTTTAGTGTCATAACTTATTGTTGAATATCTCCATCTCTTCAGGCATAAGATTGACTAAGATTGACCAAGTTTCCAACCCTCAATCCCACTGGCTTATAGCTTCAAATGTCCTAGCTCATATGATTGCAAGTATCTGCAAAGGATAGAATTTTTTTTTTAAATGTTAAAAATAAAAGTAACTAAAAAGAAGGAGAAGAAGAAGAAGAAGAAGAAGAGCAAAATTGAAAAGTAAAAACCAAAAGGAAAAGAATCCTTAAGATCATTATCAGACCTGAGAGATAAGCCTGGTATCCAGACTGAGGAAATAATTTTAATGACGCAGACTTGACTTTTTAGTGATTTGATAACATAAACTGTAAAGCATTTGGTTAAAAATTAATTATTGTATTTATTTTATTTTTTATAGGTGTTGGTGGAAGTTAACAGTGAATTTCGAATCCAGGTAACATATAGCAAATTTACTTTTTCAAATTAAAAACAAAGAAAATGCTTTGGGAGTAACAACATATCCCTGTGCCTCAACCCCCCCCCCCCAAAAAAAAAAATCACCTTTATAAGTAAAGTTAGTGTTATGCTCAAGTTAACGAAGTATCAACATTACCAATCTTCCCAATGAAGCACCCTTTCTGCCATTACAATGACCCCTCCCTCCCACAGACTCTTTAGTGGACTGTGGGTTCCGAGTAGAAAGTAACGGTACCATTCCTTTCCCTGCCATTCAAGGTCAGAGATCCCAGCGCTAAGAATGGCACCATCAGGTGGCACTCCATCAAGAGGCACAAGCGCGAGTGGATCAAGTTCGCTGCGGCCTGCCGTGAAGGTGAAGACAACTCCAAGAGGAACCCCATCGCCAAAGTGAGTGCCAACCCCCAGCGCAGCAACTCGACAGCCAAAATGGGTGGCGTTCATGTTTCCAAAGAACTTGCCCTTTGCGTGGTTTAAGAACATATCTCACTGAGAAGTCATGAGAGAAGACAGAATAATGGTCATTCAGATCATGAAAGTTGAAGCCATTAAAGAGATAAATTAATAAATGTAGGTGCTCATGTAGATGGTTAAACATTGACTCGCCTTACTGATGAAATTAATACAGAATCATGTGTTGTCCCAGACTCTGGATTTTAAAAATATAGTGCGTTACCACTCATCATATTTACAGGAACAATTTCAACATGTGCTCTCTCTACCTCACAATCTGTTTGAATTAAATTCTACTTTTGGCTTGTTTATGAACACTCACAATGTACCTTTTTTTCAAAAAAAAAATTATCCTTTTACTTTCCCTTACATGTCTTTATATACACAACACACACACACACACACACACACACACACAGAAGGACATTCAGAAACACAATTCACTCATATACAAGTGCATATCCCTCCACAGACAAACATAACACTTCCACTTAGATACACACAGAGACACTCCCCCTACAATACTTTATTTCAACAAAATCCTGGGTTTCTCCAACCATTTCTTTGAGGTGCTCTCTTTACTTTTCTGCTAATACTACCTCCAATTTCAGAATCAAGAGCTTTCCTATGTAGTCAGGTATCTTTTGTTACCCACTTAAGTCCACCTCAACCTTCACATTTGAAATGGCAGATCACAGTTATATAATGACAACATTGACCAGCTCCTCAAGAGAACAAGGAGTTCTCTACTCTAGACCGATACCAGCACAGAACCTGAAAATAATACCACCAAACTGTAAATGCTGAATGAATGAATAAATGAATGAATGCATTCACGAATGATGATTGCATAGACTTAGACATATTAGGGTGTTATTTTACTTTTTTATGATTTGGTAAAAATATAATTGAATGTCTTACATTACATTATCAGTTACCACTAAAAAATACTAGCACTATAACCATACCACTATCTGGGAAAATGAGTCTCTACTTCCAGAATTTCCCCCCAGATAACTGGGATATCAGGACGGTCAATAACTCTTGAAAAAGACAGCTACTACATATGAAACATAACAGATTTTTTTTTCCATCCTGTAATTTCACTTGTGCTCTTTCTGCAGATTCATTCAGATTGTGCTGCAAACCAGCAAGTTACATATCGCATCTCTGGAGTAGGAATTGATCAACCACCGTATGGAGTCTTCATTATCAATCAGAAAACTGGTGAAATTAACATCACATCCATAGTTGACCGAGAAGTCACCCCGTTTTTCATTGTAAGTGGGTACCGGGCCAGTGTATATGTTCAGGCCTAAATTCTTCGGAGACTATCTTGAGCTCAGATAATACTTGATTTGATTTCAAGAGTCTCAGTAGTAGGCATTTTTTGGTTGCCTCTTAATTCATGAGCAACTATGACCCCAGAGACACCCAGGGAAGACGGAGAGACAGAGCGGTGTCTCGCATGAGCGCCTGAGGAAAAATGCTAGCCTGTGATCTGGCCCCACTGGCTTCTACAATATTTGCTACAAGGAAAAGTGCTCAGCGTCTACTTTTTGTCTTTAATTCAGTTGGGAACGTTGGTCCCCTCAGTACCTAGGGGTGATTCTGTAGGTGCCAGGGAGCCTTCCTGAGTGAGCATGCGTGCTCAAGATCCCTGAGCACAGATCGGGCCTTGGAAAGACTTCAGTTCCTCCTTACCTGACTCTTCCTCTCTCCTCTCGAGCTGACCCACTTACTCTCCCCACCCTTCACCTCATTTCTATTTTAAGCAGCTGACCTCATGACCACCTTCATTACAAAAATCTGAGGCTCTTCACCACAGACTCCTACAATTCATTCTCTCCGCCTGCTCAGAAATGTTCCGAAAGCAAGATGCCTTTTCTGTTTTCTCCAATGTATCTCAGGAGTTCCCGTTGTCCCATAATTACCTAGCTCCTCAAGAGCCTTCTGGTACCCACTCGTTTTTTCATGTCTCTTCTGCTGTCCTGTGAGTTGCTCCCATCACGGTCAACACTTGTTAATACTTAAAATTAAAAATGAGAAAATAGGTGCTAGCTGGGTAGCTTAGTTGCTAGGCATCATCCTGATAAACACCAAGGACCTCAGTTTCCTTCCCGTCAGGTCTCTCTCTCTTCCTTCCTTCCTTTATCTCTCTAAAGTCAATAAATAAAACTGTTATAAAAAATAAAGGGCCACCTGTCTAGATCTTGTAACCTCTTCTATTAGAACACTGTCGATCCATATCCAAAAATACCTCCAGTACTCATCTGTTTGCTGCTTTCACTCATATTGCTTGTCTGTATTCCCAAGACTATTTTAATTCCTTAGTCTTCTATTCCTGCCTTATTTCCCACAATGTTCTCCATCAAACTCTCTAACTCAGCATGCCAGCCTATTTGCTTTGGTGAAAGCATAATGGTTTTCTAAATGAAATATGCCAAAATAGGTAAAATAGTACACATTAGTTAATGTATATGTCTGGTAATAGTAACAATGGCACAAACACCTATACAGCCCCCACCTAGCTTATGAATGCTACATTTCTTGGAAGCCCCCACGTGACTCTCCTTTACCACAGCCTCAACCCCCCACAGCCCCTCTTCCCAATTCCAAACAATGCATGTTCTTCCCTTTGCTTCTTCCCTTAATGAATTCCTTTGCCGGGAACACCCTGCAATCCCCAGCTTGAAAACCTCTTTTAAGACTGATCTCAGTCACTAAACCCCCTATGATGTCATACTATTGTTGCTCATCCTTTGTAACTGATCGTGTTACCTTTCCTTAAGTGGTATTTTGAGTACAGGTGTGCCACCCTTATTGATTATAAGTGCTGCTGTGCTTACACTCCAGCAGGAAATAAAGTCTTATTCTTCTTTTAGCTATACAGTGCCTAGTAGAGCGTCCAAACAAAGCAAAAACTCAGTATGCGTTGCATCATGTAATTATTCCTTTTTTTCTCCTTCTAGATCTACTGCCGGGCTCTGAACTCACAGGGCCAGGATTTAGAGAGGCCCCTGGAGCTCCGAGTGCGGGTACTGGATATAAACGACAACCCTCCAGTATTTTCTATGTCTAGTTTCCTAGGACAAATAGAAGAAAATTCTAATGCAAGTAAGTAGTCGACTTTCTGAAGTAAATGAGAATATATGGGCTTCCAGATCATTCTTAACAGCCTGTCTGCTAGAAGCTAAATTATGTCCATTCACCACCCTACCTATCTAAGAGGTAATTCTAGAAAAGCAAGCAGAAGAGAGAGGCATGGGAAGACTCCATCAAGGTTTCCCTTCCGCTGCGAAAGCAGCTTCGGTTGGTCACAGGCAACAGGCAGTGAGAGGAATTCTCTCTTGTGACGCTCATACCGGCTCCGTAGCAGATTCCTAAGGGAACATTCCAGAAGGACTGGACACGGTGGGGCAAGGACCCTAAGAAGACTGCTCTGAAGGGCAATCCCATCCACTTCCATCCATACTGGTTCTCCCCCTTCTTTCACTAGGATGTGCTGTATAGCTGAGAAATGCCATTTTGTTTCACCACAAAAGCCGTAAAAAGAAATCATTATACTAGGATAGGAAATGGAAAGGCAGAATAAAGCATTTCATTGTTTTCTAACTACCAGTAATATCTAGGTTCTTGGTCAAAGCTGATCTTTTTCTCAACGTAAAGGTAAAGAAAGGAACTAAAGTAGGACTACGTCGAAGAAGTAGAAAACAAAAATGGAAGAGTGCACATTATATGAACCAACTAGCCTGACCTCTTCTTGCAAAACATGAACAGTAAGAAAACACATACAGACTGTCCATTTGCAATCCATTCTCCTTGACCTCTAGATACACTGGTGATGAGACTCAATGCGACCGATGCAGACGAGCCCAATAACCTGAACTCCAAAATTGCCTTTAAGATCATCAGCCAGGAACCGTCTGACTCACCCATGTTCATCATCAACAGATACACTGGAGAAATCCGGACAATGAACAACTTTCTGGACAGAGAGGTAATTTCTTTTTCTTCGGATGGGTTGCTAGTTCATAGGAACTGACTCTAAAGGCGAGAGGACCTAAGTAAGAAAAACAAAAACAAAAACAAAAAAAACTATATTTTTAAATGTAGTTACATAACCTTTTCACATAATGGTAATGACATAAAAATGCCTTTACAATGAAAATATGGCGATTCCTCGCATACATTTTATATTCTTGTCTTTCATTTAATCTTACTTAGGATGTGCCTTAAACTGAGAAAACTGCATTCTGAGTACATAAAAATATGCATAGCAGTAGAGGCAAAAGCTCCATTTTATGAAGAAAGTGGGATCTCTAGGGAAATAAAAGCCATTTGCTCTTCCAGCTCCGGCGTGGTGAGCCAGTGCGTGCAAACGTACTCGAGGCCCCGCGAGCTTGCACAGACTAGGAAACTCGTTCCTCCTTCTTTAACCCGGCGTGTCCTAAACTCATCTGACAACAGAAATCTGTTTTCTTCCTGTGCGGCAGCTGCTGACCACCCTCTGGTTACTCTGGGAAATGGATCGCAGGAACAGCATGATAGACAGAAATTAAATAACTTCCAGATCAATCTTTTCATTTATGAGTAAGAAAACAATTAGCGAGTGTTACCAAATTAGAATCAGCATGACATGGTTTCTTTCTATCATGCCAGGTGGTCCCATAACTTATTTAAAAAAAACAACTTTTCATTATTTTTAAATGGAATATAGCTAACCTGCATGTTCTGTAAGAATATACATGAGAAAGTGTTATTTTCTAATACTCAATTTAATTTTATTTTAATAATTACAGTTATTTAAAAATGGCAAACTCCTATTTGATGACGGGGAGGGTTAGGATAAATCAGATTATTCCTACACTCTTTAATTATCTAGATGCCATCAGTTTCTAGGTGACCTATCTCTCTTTTTATACTTGTTAGAAAGTTACCATCAGAAGAAATTGACTGCTTAGCTCTTTCTTGAACTTTCTCAAAGAACCCAATGAAACTCCTTTCATGTCTGAAGAGTTTTAGCAGTGGAGAGCTCTAAACAGGAAAGGGGAAAACTCCAGATATTCTTAACCAGGCGTCCATGGCGAGACCTCAAGACGTCTCTAACTATAATATGACGCCTCTAAGATCATATTGCAGTTTTTGATGAGAAAGCAAGGATGCTTGTGTCTGGAGGAGTCAGAGCTTTCACAAGCTTCTGAAAACGTAAGCACCACTGAATAGAATCAAGGAGCTAGAACGCCCATAATTCCCCTGCCACCACCTGGGCCCCAGAAATGCCAACCTGGACCTCTTTACTCTCGCACATCAGGGCTGGCTATGAAAGGCAGGGGACTCATGCCAAAGTTCTTGGTAAACTTTCAACTCTTCCCTCCTGATTGTTTCGACCCAGTTTGCCCTTCAGAAACGTTTTCAAATTTTGAGCACAAACATAAGGAATGAGACTTTGGAAGCATGTCGCTTCTTTCCAACGAGGCGGAAGAAGCATTTGAGGGACTCGACGTGGTGTCTTTCATGTTGATTCATGTGAGATATGAGTTTTTAAGGATCGGGGGTACCTTTATCACCACCACAGATTTATGTAAATCATGAGCCAACATTTTGAAAGAACTCTGCATGAGACAGAATAAGGACTGTCTGTGCCAACTGTGATATTGTCTGTCGTGTGTGTGTGCAGCAATACAGCCAATATTCCCTTGCTGTAAGAGGCTCAGACCGAGACGGCGGGGCGGACGGCATGTCCGCAGAGTGTGAGTGCAGCATCAAAATCCTCGATGTCAACGACAACATCCCATACCTGCAGCAGTCCTCGGTAAGTGCTCGTCTCTGAAAGGAATGACTCGGGTCGTCGCATGCCAAAATGTGTTTGGACAACCCTCTTTACAGATGTCTATGTTCTCCTTAGTCACAGACAAGCCGGGGTAGACATGTCCTTTGTCTGTGCTTACATTTGTAATGCACTGGGGCCAAATGTTTGAACAATGAAAAGAGAGACGCCACACACAGACCTGCTCTCTAAGCCATGAGTGACTGTGGACGCCCAGTGTAAGTGGAGCGTCATTCTCTCCCTCGCAGTGTGCGCTGAAGCTTTTTGCTTCTCGTTTCAGTATGAACTAAATATCGAAGAAAACTCTCTGAACTCCAATTTGCTCCAAATCAGAGTCATTGACTTGGATGAGGAGTTTTCAGCTAACTGGATGGCTGTCATTTTCTTCATCTCTGGAAACGAGGGGAATTGGTTTGACATAGAAATGAACGAAAGAACAAACGTGGGGACTCTGAAGATTGTTAAGGTATGGTGTAACTACCCTAAATATTTTGTTCTCTTGGTCTTGCTCCAAATGTTAATCTTAAATCTAAATGTTAAGATTACACAAACTCGAGTGGGTGAAATGATTTAAAAAAAATTACTGTTTTAAAATGGAATATGATATAGAACTTTTACATGGCGAGGTTTATTGCTCATATAATTTCATGAAAATAGGCATTGGATTTTAACTTGAGACTCTATTTATACAGTTCTCCCCTGCAGATCATATGAATAGAAAGAATTTTTAAATAGAAAATTAACTTTATGCTTACAACAAAATATGATTATGACTTAGGGCTTTGTTTGAGATGTTTAAAAATATTTTTAAATCAGATTTAACATGGCTTCACAAGCAAAATGTGTCCATGGCGATTATTATTTACATTAAAAATATTCACTATAGAAATCAAATGTTTTTATTCCTCCTTGTGTTTTTATGAAATTAACTGTAAAAAACTATAATTGTAGAATTGCGTTCCCAGCTCATTGAGGCTGCTGACCAAGGTTTATTATGGATATAAATACACTAGAGATTTAGTCCAAGTCCCTAGAGTTTCCCTGACATTAACAAACCACCAAATCATCTGCAGTAGAACTCCTTCTGAGACATGAAAGGGGGAAATGTCAGACTCCTGGGGAGCTGGTAGTGGAACTTTCACCCTGTGCTAAAGCCTTGCCGAGTCTATTTTTAAAATGTTCAATAGCCTCCTGATCAGGTAGCTCAGTTGGTTATAGTGTCTTCTCAGTATGCCAAGGTTACAGGTTTGATCCCAGGTCAGGGCATATATAAGTGGACAGCAAATCGATGTTTCTCTCTCTCCCTTCCTCCATCTCTCTAAACATCAATGTAAAAAGTTGTAATAGTGGTGCATAAACTATATGTGATGTGTGCAATATGGATTCTTCATAGGAAAATGTAACTCTTTTTCCACTACTTCCTTCCTTCGGAATAGTCCTCGGAAATAGTCTCCTACAGTCTGTCCTCCTGGGAACGTGTGAGCATTTGTTTCCTGTCATCATAAAGTATCACCATGTCTGTGGCTTTCTCTTCATGAGGCCCTGGGTAGAGACTTCAGTCTATTCCTCACAGCATCCCTGCAATCAGTTATATGCCCATGTTGCAGATAGATACATTGAGGTCCAGAGAGAGTATATAACTTACTCAACTTCACTTAACTGTATTGGTATGGCTGGCACACAAACCTACATCTCTCTAGCTACTAAGTCCATATCCTGTCACTATACTCCCCAGGATTTCATGCTGGGGGAAAAATCATAAACTATTTTATACTAAACTACTCCATTATTTTAGAAAATTAATCTATCTGTCCTCCATACCTCTATTTGTAAAATGGGAATTATTCTTATTTTTCTCTCAGACATAACATCATGTTAATTCTTTTTATGATTATATACTATATGTAATAAGTCTGTGTGTTTGTGTATAATGTATATGTATACATGATTTTATAGCCAATCTTGAAATTGCAAGTACAGCCAACATCAGGGCAAAGACTAAACATGTACGTAAGAGTGCAATGTATGAATCCATGGTCATCTAAAGACTCTTATGTGAAAATTAGGAAAATATATTTGGCATAATGCAATGTTTGTAGATTGTAGGAGTAATGGATATTAACACCATCTTTTTTTAGTGGAAATGACTACTTGATTATTTCCAAAAGGTGAAATAATTTATTCTAGAATATGTTGAAAAAATAAAAATTTCTCTTTATTATTTGTATGCTACATTCTAGTACCTGGCTTAATAAAAGAACTCATATTTGTAGAAGTAAAATTCTTTCAAATAATAATAGTTCTTTGTGGGTAGAACCAGTCAAATGATGGAACCTGCAATGTATCTAGCCCATAAATAGAACTACTTTCTGAAAAACACAAAATGATACAGGATAACATAAACTGTCCTTGCACTACAAAATGCAAGGATTTGACCATCTATACTATTTTTAAAATTTTTAATTTGGTGGACTCATGTCATATATAATATTTTCAATGAAGGATACAAGATTGGATTTTTTTTCCACTATATATATTTTATGTGTTTGTATTAAAGGTAAAGTAAGAACACATTTTATGTATTTATATTTAATTAATATCATCTTTCTAGGCAAAAGCATTTATAACTATTATCAAAGGATCTCTTTTTCTTCTAGAATTCTTTTCTTTTTGTAGTAAAACTATTTCATTCTGTATTTACTAGGCCTTGGATTATGAAGCCATGCAGAACCTGCAACTCAGTATCGGTGTTAGAAATAAAGCTGAATTTCATCAATCAATTATGTCTCAATATAAGCTCACAGCAACAGCAATCTCCGTGACTGTGTTAAATGTAATTGAAGGCTCAGTGTTCCGTCCAGGTTCAAAGACATTCGTAGTAAATAGTAAAATGGGTCAGAATTATAAACTGGGAGATTTCATAGCTACTGACCTGGACACTAACGGACCTTCAACAAAAGTTAGGTGAGACACATTTTCCAACAATTTTTATCACATATTGAATGAAGTACATATGTTCTTTTTTGAAGTTTTAAGTATGAATTTAAATATTTTTCATTATTTTGAAGCCATCATTTAATCATAAAAAGCACTACCTACTGAATTATTACTTAAAGGGTGTACCTTACAAAAATATTTAAAAAAAAACAAAAACCTATGCAACATATAAAATGTAAAAGTATAAAGATGCAAAATGTGAAAATATTGTATCTTTAAACTTTGACATTCCTATGTTTATATCTTTTATGGACCAATTAGCTGATTACCACATCCCAAGATCATCTGCCCCAGAACTTTATGGCTAATTTTCCCATTGCAAATTTGCCCAGATTGAGTCCAATTAGATTTAGTTATTTTCTTCACTTTAATAAACACTTATTATTGGCCAATAATAACTTTGGCATGAAAAATGAGTTAGATTAAAGAAAAATCATGCTGCATAATTTTTTAAAACTCTGTATATCCAAATATTTCTACTTGATTATAAAAAATCTGTGTATATGTGCACATATGTTTTAAACATGACCAAGAGTAACAACAGGGGAAAGATCTCACAAATCAGATTTTAAAGTGCTTTCTCCTTATTCTTCTCACACTATGTGAGTTCAATGTTACAGCTCTCATCACTGTCCCACCACCACTGTCAGCGCTCACCCCGCAGATGTGGCTCCCCGAGGGCAGGTCACCTCCCATCCCTCCCCCAGCACCCACCCCTGTGTCCTCTCCACATTCTGTTCCCTGAGTGTAGCAAAACATCTGAGACAGAGAGTTGCTAACCAATATTTCTTGCATCATATGTAATGAGAGGAAAAAAGACATGGAAGGGAAAGAGGAGGAGAGGAAGACAACAGAAAACAGGACGGAAGCATCAGAAAAGGATTCCGTAGTTTGGAATTCAGAAGAAGTCCTGTTCAGTCACTGTGTGTGTGGAGAGGGGGAGTGGAAATAGGGAGGGATGATGGCCAACCTGATGAGGATGTAGTTCTTTGGGAAGAGAATAACTTAGAACTGTTAATGAGCTCAGGAAGTCCTAGGATTTGGTCTTCCAGGATAGCTCCCATGCTACCTAAACCAAGTGAAAATGAGACTGCAAGCATCTAAGGATTTTTCTGCCAACCAAGTGGGCATAGGGGACATTCCATCGGAAAGAGCTGCTCAATCATTCTTTTTGCTTAAAATGACAGCTTTGTCTGTTTCCCAATGTCCTCAAATAGCTGAGACTTCCCTGAAAAAAGGAGAAAGTGTATCTAATAACTGAAAACTGTGTTCAGGGATTATAACTAATAACTAGAGACCTGTTTTATAAATAAAATCTCTCTCTCTCCCTCCCTCCCTCCCTCTCTCCCTCCCTCCCTCCCTCTCCCTCTCTCTCTGCTTTTTTAGATAGCTGACATTAATTTATACTATAATCTTTCAAATACAGATACGTCATGGGAAATAATCCAGCTGACCTGCTCTCTGTTGACTCAAAAACGGGCATTATTACTTTGAGAAATCAAGTTACCAGAGAACAATATAATATGCTTAATGGAAAATACCAAGGAACAATTCTATCTATAGATGGTAAGAGATCAATTCAACATTTTTCCTTCTAGAATTTATATATGTAAATTTTAATTACTGTATTTTGAAGTAATGCTTTTTTCAACAAAAGTTATCATACTGGCTATTACAGAATCAAATCTTTAATGATATGTAAGGTAGTATAATTTAGTGGATAAGACCATGAGCTCTGGAGTGAGACTGGATTGGTGTCTTGTGCCATTACTTACTAGATATGAGATTTCAGAGAAGTCATTTAACCCACTAATCCCTCAGTCTTTTCTCCTGCAAAATGGAACAATGACAATATGGATTTAAGGAGTAACTACATGTAAAGCACTTAAACTTTCAATAAATGTTAGTTCTTATTAATGTAAATAATTGCAATTTTTAAATTGTATGTATCGTAAAATTATATTCAAATACTTAGGCCAGAAGTCAAGCTAACTTAACTTTATATAATCTTTGGGAAGTTGATGCACAACTTTGTGTAAGCAATTTGGAGGTATCATGCATATATTATTTTTCAAAATCAACAAAATTAATTTAGGCTGATCCCTAAAGGAAGAGAGCTCTTAGAGACTAATTCTTCTAAGCAATGTTTGCTATTTCAGTTGCTCTTTCTCCCTCCCTCTCCCTCTTTTTCCTTCATTCCATTATCCTAAAAATGGGTTGACTATTTCCACTTGCTTTGCAGATTTAAAAAATAATAAATAATAAATAGCATTCCTTTAAAGTCATTCAACAATTCAGAATTTTTACCAATTATAATGTTTTTCCACAATTAATCAAAATAAGAGTAGTTTTAAAACATATATCGCAAACAGAAATGTGATTCCATTTAAAGATGAAGCTTATTATGATTCAGTGTTGAAATGACCTCAAGTAATTGCTAGCTTACTCCAGTTTTACATCCAACATCAAGCTTCAATGGGGACATGAAGAAAAAATGGAAACTTTGCTTACAACATTGTTAGGCTTATGGTAAACAGAAAGCATGCCTTTTCTCATCAAAAAGGGGGGTAAATATTACAGGTAATGAAAATGGTAAAAATTAGACCAAAACCAATAACGTTAGAATCAGCATAGCTGAGATGAAAGGGCATGGAATTTGATATCATAGATTGGATTTAAACTTGTCTCTGTTATGCACTCCAGGGACTTCTTTATTCATTTAGTCAGAATCTATATATTGAATCCTAACCAAATGTCAGCCATTGTACTGGGTTCTAGGGTTATATCAATGGACAAAGTCTGACAACAGAGCTTACATATTTGTAACTGGGATAATAACAACAATGTCAAACAGAATCATTCCTTGATTTTTACCCAGTTTCAATAACCTTAGGATAATCCCTAAATATAAAAGGCTGAATGCACATCAATGTTACTTATAGCATTATCTAAAATAAGTATCAAAAGCAATATCGATAATAGGTATTGACAGGTGTTAATACACACACTGCCACAATGAGATAGAAACCATACTCATCATCACAGTGGTACCCTGAGTCCTTCTGCAGTCATTACTACAGCTCTGGTTCAGCCCCAGGCACCTGCTGATGAAAAACAGATGGATTCTGATGCACTATCTTTTGTATCAAATGCACTAAAAAATTAGTCTACTGTTTTGAAATACTAGCTGGTTGGTTGGTTGGTTGGTTGACTAGATGAAATAAATAGCTAGGGTAGAGCAATTAAGTTGAAACAAATCACAAATCTCCCTACCCCTGTGTTTAGTCAAGGAGCATAATAGCTTACTTAAACTTTTAAGGACAAGAAGAAAGCACACTGGAATATCTGCTTGTGAAACAAACGGGTCTCACCTTCTTATCGAAATGAAAATTTCCCCACCTCCAACAGCGCCAGTTCCCTCTCCTGGGAGTGCTTGGTGGCTGTGAGTTTGGGAATATGCTGCTTTCTCACTAAAAAAAATTTTGTAAAAGCGATTTACTAACTTGCTCCCAATCTGTTCATTCTGCCAGCCCATAAAAGGAAAAGCACAAACATAATTGAAGAAGAAATACAATAAAAGCCACCACAAAAAAAAAAAAAAAAAAAAAAAAAAATCTAGCTCTAACATAAGAAATGTGCAATAAAACCCCCAAAACCAGTAGTCTAAGAATGCCTTCCCCAGGGCTTACAACGCAGCACTGGCCAATGCAGACACAACGTGGTGTTTACTGTCTGTGCTTCTCTGCACGAGACAGTTTTCCAGGAGCACTGATAGTCCTAACAGTTGGATGGTAAAAACGAGTCGTGAACAAGGGAGAACTGAGGAAGTTACTGGGTGAATGGGAATAAAGACATCAAAATAATATTGATGCGAAAAGGAAAGAGTTTCATATTGTCCCTCAATGATTACACTAAATTTATGAATGATTTCTTCCATTTTGACCCTTGTTACAGATGATCTTCAAAGAACTTGTACTGGTACAATTAATATTGATCTTGAAGATTCTGACTGGCCAACTTCTGAAACCACTCCAAAATATATCACTGACAATGGGGCTGGCCCGGGTCCTGAGGTTACCACCGGTGAATTCGGCACTGGTCCTGGTGACGTCAACACCGAAGACATCAATGGAGGCGGCGGCGGCGGCGGCGGCGGAGGCGGTGGAACAGATGAGTATAACAAAGAACCACTGGGCGTGCCCATGTTTCCAGACAACGTGCATTTTGGTCCTGCCGGCATTGGACTGCTCATCATGGGATTCCTGGTCCTAGGATGTAAGTACTTTAGCAGCCCATCCCCACCCCCCCAGCCCAAAACTGGGAGACATTTTCTGATCTTTTGATAAGAAGTATTTTTTTAAATGTGTATTGTGTTCAATTACCAATATATTTCTACATCTAGTGCTGGTCTTCTGAGATTTTTTAAAAATCCAATTGCTCGGCAGTGGAAGATAAAAACTTTTTGCGCGTTCCATCTCAACGTGATGGGCTGCCCCATAAGAGGCAGGTCCCATTGCTATTTGAGCAGAGAAGACAAGGAGAAGCAATTGATTGAAATAGCCAGGGAAGCCTATGTGTGGGCTTTTCACTAACACCTATTCCTGGGAGCACATTAGGACAACATGCTGTCCTCCAGGTGGGGGTGGGAAGTAACAGGCAGGTCCCAGAGGAGGGCACAGTCTGGCCTTGTTTCTCTGGAACCGGGCTGGCCCAGCATTCCCCTCTCCTTCATCACTATCCTCACTCCATTCCCCCTGCCCACCTGCCCTCTTCCTTTTTTTTTTCATTCCCTCTTTCCTCGTTGTCTAAAAAACTTACACATCCTTTTCTTCATCCACCCATTCATTCCAAATTGCTAGTTAAGATCATTTTATGGTATTAATGGGCTAGAAACTTCTGATTGATCGGAAAAGGCAGAGTGAGGCAGCGTAATGTTCTCTATTTGAGCATGAGTAATTTCAATTTAAGGGCAAATAAGAGCCTCAAAGAGGATAACCTCTTGAAGCATGAACAAGATGTTACCGTTGAAATAAAAAGGTGGGCATGTGTGGAAGGAGAAAAATAAAGACATGGAAGAGGGAACACAAAACACCGAACACATGGACTGGCCGCCCAGCTTTCTCTTCTCTCTCGTTCCCTATGTTCTTGAGTGACAGCAGGGAGAAGAATAATCTGTGATCATACCACGATACTATTTGTAACCTGAATCTGATATAACAAATGAAAATGTGTTGCAATCTAGTAGACTGAAGCTCACATTGATTTTAGCATCTCACCATTATACAGGTCATTTTCTATAGCCTTCATAATAATTTTAGGATCAAATGGGGTTATATTAGGGATTCAAATTTAGTCACAAAAAGCAAGATTTTGTTTTAACATGCCAATACTCCTCTCCTGTCACCCCCAGTGGTCCCATTCTTGTTGATCTGCTGTGACTGTGGAGGCGCCCCTGGGGGAGGAGCCGGCTTCGAGCCTGTTCCTGAATGTTCAGAAGGGGCGATCCATCCGTGGGCCGTGGAAGGACCAGGGCCTGAGACTGGGGTGAGTGCCAGTGCTGGGCTAGGGGGAAGGGGGGCGGGGGAACGGGCGGGGGGAGGGAGGGGGCAATGAAGAAAAGCACAGGTACCTCCAATTAGATGAACGTAACCAGAGAAGGCTTTCTGAAGGCAGTTCCTGTTTTACATGGATTTCCAACGCTGTCCTAAGCGATGTTCTTTTGGAACATCGGAGGTGATCTGAGAGCTAACCCAATGTGTAAGGAGAGAGAGAAGAGTCATTACACATGGGAAAACGTTTCTTATCTTGCAGATCATCACCACCATCCCTGTGCCACAGATGGTGCCCGGAGGCATCCCATGCATTGACACTTCAGGTACCATTCCTCTTATTTTAACAACTCAAATGACTCCGAAGGAATCTTGTTCCCTCTTTGCATACCTCAGTTTCTCAATAATTACACTTGTCTTTAAAGTTGTTTCTATTATTCCTTTTAAAATGACTAATTCACATACTAAATGAAAAGGGAAAACCCACAGTAATTGTTATTCTTATATCTTCTTCAATCATCAGAGAGAACTTGGGAAATGGCCCAATTAGGATGTCTATAAGTAGAAAAGAATAACTGAATTATAACCACAAGTCTATTTTTGGCATGGGGTTAAATCCTATGTACCCCAAAAGTGCTAATTACAATGAAAAGACAACCTATTAAAATAGACCTGTGCTCATTTATTGAGATGAGATTCCACCTCCACAATTCATGAATGGTTCAGAATCATGCTGGCTTCATCATGACAAAATTAAAAACTGCATCCATTCTCAGCATCAGCCTGAACGTTGACCTGAAAAGATTTGTCCAGTTTCTCAGATTGAAAGTAAGTGGCTGAAACACTATCAACATCTCGTAGCGCTCTCCTCTGAGGTGTGTGCACGGGGTGGGGTTTCTCCTGGCATACGGTGAGGCCATCAGCACATCCGGTCCCAGGCAGAACCCGGGGAGAATGAGGATGTCACGGGAAGCGAATAACTGTGACACCAATAAAAAGAACAACTGGCTTTTAGAAACCTCATATCTTTGAAGAGTTGTGCCATCTTTCCTTCTTTTGAAGGTAAATACACACTGATTCTCTGATTTTTCTCTCAGCCTTTCTCAAACTTGCAATCATGGCTTTTCCAAGTTGACTATTTAAAATGTAAGACGCACAGGAATATTTATAACTTGTAGGACTGGACCTTATGAAAAGGATGGACATGCTGGTGTTTAAAACCATATCTCCTCATGCATCCATTGTTGTTAACGTCACCGACATCCCCCACACCTCAAAATTGAAACTGGTATCTTCCTGCTCACTGATGTCCAGTCAATTCTAAGACTTGTCAAACCAGCAGGCTTTATGCATACACCGAGTCTCTCATTAAGTCTACAGATATTTACACAGACCTCCACAAGGCACAGTGAGAGCACCAAAGTGACAGACGTGTGCACACGCACTGTTCCCAGCATCACAACATTTAGAATAGGGAAGCATGGGACACCTCCAGTGTCAACACGGCCCTGTTCATTGCACATCCATCAGCCAGGCCATGACTTAGCATATGTGAGGCTTCTATTCACACCCCACCCACGTGCAAATTCAAATGCAGACTTTCCCCTCGCCGTCGCCATAGCTTCCTCTCCGAAAGCCGTGGTTCTTGGGCCTTCTCTGGGGTCCCGTGCTTCCTAATACAGTACGTTGGGGTGTTCTTATACCATTTAACTTTTAGAATTTGGTCATTCTCCTCCCCCCCTCCCAATTTTTGTTAATTTAAAATCAAAGTCCTCATAAAAACTATGTATGGTGCCAGTTGGGTACTGGAAATAACTGGGGGAGCACTGTAAATCTAATCAGCAGAAATTAATACAAAATAATATTGAATGTAAACTGTAATTGAAAAAAAATTAAATAAAAATATGTAAAGCATAGGTTTGTATAACCACTACGCAGCCCCTTGTTCTAGTTCAACATATAGTTACCAATAAATACTGAACAATAATTACCAAGTTACCAAATTAATTACTATTATTTTGAACTGAATATATTTATAGTTCCTGTATTTAAGTATCACTTTCTTTTTTCCTTTTTCCTTTGCTCACAATGCATACTTAAATGAAGAACCATACATAAAGTAAGGCACTGATTTTTCCTCTCCAGCACACTAGATAAAGGAAATTTAACTTGGCCTTCACTTTCAGGGGTTTATACAAATGAGTATGGTGGCAGAGAAATGCAAGAGATGGAAGGAGAAGAAAGGATAACAGGATTTGAACTAGCGGATGGAGTTAAATCATCAGGAGGACCTGAGATCTGTCAGGAATATTCTGGAACATTAAGAAGAAATTCTATGAGGGAATGTAGAGAAGGTCTGAACATGGACTTTATGGAAAGCTACTTCTGCCAGGTAAGGGCTCTGCCCCGTGCCCTCCTCCCCGTCTGGCACCCACTGCTATCCCCCAGCCTCCCCGTTCCCATGGGGCTTGGGCAGGCACCCCTTGCTAGGCTCCAGCCTCTGTGCGTGATGGTCTATGGCGCTGCTGACACGACGGCTAAACCTCTCACCTAGGCTGCTATTCCCCACTTAGTAGCAGCCACTGCTCCCCGCTGTTTGCCTATGGCCTGAAGTCTAAACTCCTTAACATGGCACATAGGCTTGTTCACAGATGGACCCCTGTTCTCAGGTCTCCAATCACTCTCTCCTACCAATCCCACTTGTATAAATAACCCTAAGAAAACGCACAATTTTGTGTATTCAGACTCAGCATTTTTAAGTACCTCCTCCAACCTTGGTTACAAAATAATTCATGTGATTTTGTGTGTATGTGTGTGCTTTTGTGTCCAAAGTCCACCATTACAAAGTCCACCTACATGAATTTTTTTTTAAATATATTTTATTGATTTTTACAGAGAGGAAGGGAGAGAGATAGAGAGCTAGAAACATCGATGAGAGAGAAACATCGACCAGCTGCCTCTTGCACACCCCCTACTGGGGATGTGCCTGCAACTTATGTACATGCCCCTGACCGGAATCAAACCTGGGACCTTTCAGTCCACAGAATGACGCTCTACCACTGAGCCAAACCGGTTTCGGCCCACCTACATGAATTTTAAAAATCAAAATATATCATTGGAATTACAGCTTAAGTAACTTCTAAGCAAATTCTTTCATGCAGTTCCATGATTTTCAGAACACCTCTAGTAGATGTTAGAATTTTGTTTTTCCTATTTTCCTTTGGTAATGCCCTGTAAGAAATAATTAAGACATAAGTCTGTGGTTGTTAGATATGTATCCATGGCCTCGTTTCCTCTCTCCTCTGCAAATTTAGAAAGCATATGCGTATGCCGATGAAGACGAAGGACGCCCGTCCAATGACTGTCTGCTCATATATGACATTGAAGGGGTGGGCTCCCCCGCTGGCTCTGTGGGCTGCTGTAGCTTCATTGGAGAAGACTTCGATGACAGTTGCTTGGACACATTGGGGCCTAAGTTTAAGAAGCTGGCAGATATCAGCCTGGGGAAGAATGTCGAATCATATCCAGATTTTGATCTCCCTTGGCCTGAGAGCACTGAACCCATTTACCCTCAGCAGGCAACAGAGCCCATGGTTAGTGGCCACCCACCCATCTCCCCACACTATGGCACCACTACGGTCATTTCTGAGAGTGCCTACCCCTCTGGGCCTGGTGTTCAGCATCCCATGTCTATCCCTGACCCTCTGGGCTATGGTAATGTCACCGTGACTGAGTCTTATACCACCTCCGGCACTCTGAAGCCCTCTGTCCACATCCATGATAACCGGCATGCCTCTAACGTGGTGGTGACAGAGAGGGTGGTCGGCCCAATCTCTGGTGCCGATTTGCATGGAATGCTAGAGATGCCTGACTTAAGAGAGGGGTCAAACGTCATAGTGACAGAAAGGGTAATAGCACCAGGTTCAAGTCTACCCACCACGTTCACCATCCCTGATCCCAGAGAGTCTTCCAACGTGGTAGTGACAGAAAGGGTAATAGCACCAGGTTCAAGTCTACCCACCACGTTGACCATCCCTGATCCCAGAGAGTCTTCCAATGTGGTAGTGACAGAGAGGGTAATCCGACCAACTTCTGGCATGATGGGCAGCTTCGGTCTGCACCCCGAGCTCTCCAATGCCCACAATGTAATTGTGACCGAGAGGGTGGTTTCTGGCTCTGGCGCAACCGGATTTAGTGGCCCAGCGGGGATGATTGGTGGCAGTGGCACAGTCGGCAGTGGCCTGGTTGGCAGTGAAGCTGGAATGGGTGGTGGTGGCATCGGGCTGAGCAGCCTGGGAGGAGGCGGGGGCCTGAGTAGCAGCATGGCGGGGACGGCCACCATCGGCCACATGCGGAGCTCCTCTGACCATCACTTTAGCCAGACCCTCGGATCCACTTCCCCGAGCACAGCCCGAAGTCGAATCACCAAGTACAGTACCGTGCAGTATACTAAGTAGCCAAGGTCCCAGCACACTCCTTCTCAGGGATTGACAGTTAGCTCCGATTCCCACCACCAGAAAGCTGACAAGGGCATCTGTGATGCACAGCCAGGGGCTAAGGACAGTGTGGGCCAAAGTTTCCTCCAACCACCGGGAGGAAAAGAGATGGACGCGGGTGGTTGGGCAAGAACTCTCCTTAGCATGGGTACACGCTTTTCTTCTGTTAGTCCCAGAGGAATCAGGGACAGCACTTTCTCTGCTCCTGTGTGGCCTGCAGTGCCTCTCCAGCATGTGGGGGAAATCCCACTCAGCCAGGTAGAAGCACTGGCCTTCACATGCAGTTGGCGAACATCTCTTGGTGTTTTTTGACTTGCTATGTACTTCCTGCAACATTTAAAAAGAACTGAACATGCAATGTGTGTTCACGTATGTGGGAAGAGTTTGAAAGTTGTGCCAAATACCCTGTCAATTTCACAGATAATATAAATAAAAATCCAACCACATATTCAGACCACGGTCAGCCATTAAAGAAAAATGAATCTGGCAACCTAGCCAAGTCCACAAGCCACCAAGGGCTCCGACCTTAATAGCTGCACCAGGTCCAGCAAACCGCCGATCAGGGCATGTTTCCTGGGAGGGAATTCCATAAGAGAGTGGCAACAGCGCGGGATCCATTTGGGGCCAACTGACCCATCTGGTCTGAGTCTGAATCTGGAGATGGGGCTGCACCTAGAATTCTTACGCCAAGGCTTTTCTGCTTGTAGTCTGTGTTTAGTGTAGACGCCATAGTGACGCGTATCACCTCCGGGTGAGTGTGCAGGGTTTCACACTCAGGCCTCCCCTTCCTGCTGCACCTCCGACTTCACTCGGGAAACTGCCCCGTGTGCTTCCCAGGCTGAAGCAGGTAACACGTGCCACGGGTGTCCTCTCTAGTGGCAGGTCACCTTCCCGGGAAGCAGACAGGAACTGCGCTGTATTTTCAGATTGTGTGTTCAGTTAAGTGTTATTCATTTATAGTCAGCTCTCTACTATACAGCTCCTCTGAGCTGCATGATTAAGCTTTGGGGGAATTTTTTAAAGGTCTTCCTTAAAAAGTGTTTAGAACATGTAAAATGTTTACTGGGGAAAGTTAGAATTGTTCAGTCAAGTAATGCTGTACTGTTAGTTTGAATTGAATTTACTACTTTTTTGAACGACCCTCTGCTGCTATTTTGAAGGGATCAACTAGGAACTTTTAACAGAGTTGATGATATTGTGTTAACACAAACGAAATTGTACTAGGCAATCGCATTTCATTACTCTATCCCACTGCCAACTGAATTTTCGCACTAGTGTAAACTTCACATTTCTGATTTGATTCGTCAATATGTTCTTGGTTTATAGATGCTCCAATTTATAGATTCCAAATTATATCCTATGGCATATTTTTCTAGCTTCAAATTTTAATAATGTACATTTCTGTGTGTTTGCTATACAGTATTATCTGGTTAAAAGTCTGTAAATAGAATCAAAGCATTGTTAGTCAGGAGTAAATTTACCATTGCATGGTAAAGGAACTTTCTTCTCTTTTCTAAATCCAGTGTCAATATGAGTTAATTAAAGTAAAACTGGATATGACAACATCTTATAAGGATTATTACTCCCAATTACTCAGGTTTCCCAAGGTGTTACAGATCAAAGAATACTTAACTTCCCACACTTCTCAAAGGGGGTTGGGGAATTAACTATTTTACCTATAGCTGTTTTGCTCTATGTTCTAGCAGATAATGTCAATATTTTCAAAGCCACAATATATGTTTTATTTGAACTCTGTTGACTGTAAAATTGTGATGTTCTGTAGCATGCCAAACGCAGAGGTGTAAATAAAGTCATTCACAGCGAGTCTTTATTTCATTTTTTCCTGCATTTGGGGGTTCTATTAATGATGGGTAGTTTTTCCAGAAATAAAGTCAAAGGGCATTTATTCAAATATGCTTGAGTATACCTGGACCCAGGAGTTTGAAGAAAACATAATTATTAATCAATTATTAGTTAATAAATTAAAGGGAGTGATCACAAGTAGTTGACTTGTTCCTTTGATAGGACATATCATTAAAAAAGTGTTTTCTTGAGACTCCTGGTATCTTCAAGTATGTTTTTCAGGTTGTCTAACAAATGCCATAGTGACCATCTTTAATAACTATTGATATTAAGATCCATCAGTTACATAAAACCATGGGAAATACAAGAAAAAAAAATAGCAGTATTATTCACCAATCTTTCAATGTTTCAAATTGGATTGTTTTTATTTTGGGGGGTTCTTTTTTAGGATTACACATTGATATTCTTTTTATTCCTAAATGTTTTAAATTGCCTTTTAAGACCTCTCCCATTCTAACAGTCCTTTGAAGGCATGTTTTTTTTCAGTGAGCTGCCTTTTGGGGAGAATTCTAGACTTCCCTTTAGGTGCTTTCTTCTGAGTCATAGACTTAGGTCATCCCATAGACCTAAGTAGACTTTACTATATAAGGGAATAATCATCATTCAAATCCACATCGCAAGCTGGAGCTCAGATCAATTTGTCTTAACAAAAGAGAAGAAATAATGACTTAAATGTTATATATATATATATAGTTCAAAACAGCGTTTAAAGTTTACAAAGTACCTGACTTCTAAAGAGGCAATCCTTGAGAACAAAAATTAGTGCATTATAAATATTTATTTAATTATTTAATATCAACCAAAATACCATCCTGAGCTATTTTACATTGAATTCCAGATATATCTGCTACGCATCATTAACCTCTATTTCAGTTGCTTGATCTAACTGTGTTTGCCTTGAAACATTTATAAGGGGGAAAAGTCGGTATTTAGGACTATGTATCCGTCTTCACCTGAACATGTTTTATATTCATGTATAAAGTTCTTAGTTTCATAATCTTCACTCAAGTCATGTTCTGACAGAATTTTAATTATATAGCTTCGAAAGTTACATATTCACTCTGACTTGATGTTTTTAATTATGTATTGTACACAATTCATTTCTGAATTTATATCAACATTTAACTGTCAGCCAATTTAGTAGGAGGTTAAAGGTGTGTGACCATTGGCTAAAATGGCCATAGCTATGTGGGAAAGACATTTGAAACCCCAAACTTTCAAAAGTACTGCCTTGTTTTCTCGTTCTATTGATAAATTCCAGCCTTTTTGGAATTTTTAGTATTTCTAAGACCTACTTCACGTTGCATGGAATACACCAGTCCACCTAATTACCAGCACCAGGAAACAGAACCTGCCTCCCAGTTGCAGATTATCCACAAAAGTATACTAAATGTTAGCACAAAAGTATAAATGAATCAACCTGTTATCCGTCAAATACTTTTAAAACAGTAATCTATTATTTGCCTACAGTCCACTTAGTTATATTAGAATTACTAAACACTTCATCATTAAGCTGTACTTAGTCTAACTGATTTTTCTTTTGCTATTTTACAAATACTTTAAAACTCTAATGGTAATCTTTGAAATTGCTTAAAACAAGGTACTTTCCTTCAAGTTCCAACATAAAAGTTGGTGAGTTATTTGGGTACCAGTTCCTTGCTTGGTCATTTGTTGGCTCTGTGAAGTTGGTTTGCAAGTTCCAAAGGGTTATGTTTTCAGCAATAAAATGATTAACACTGTTTTTATTATCTTTTCCGGATTGTCGGGAGCGGGGACAGAGGAATAATGAGAGGTTATCAGAGCTAGGTATTATTTTCAGCCCATATAAGTGAAGAATTTGTTTCACTCCAGTAACATCTATTTTCACTGTCTATTGACTTTTCTCGCTCATGTTTCCCGGGGAGCTCCTCTCCGGAGGCTGCTTGCTCATGTCAGAGCACAGCCTATGAGCCCCACATGAACACGTTAGTGATACATTGCTTGTACTTTAGCATCTTTATGCTTTTCCTTTTTTTCTTTGCTGCTCTAAGTTTTTATTGTTGTGCGTACTAGCATTTCGTTGCTTTTAGAATGGCGTTTCCTTTTATTTGCGTTTGAGGTCCGACCCCTTCACCTGTGTGGGGCACTTCTCCTCTTCGCTCTCCAGCCACATCTGGACCATGATCTCCTCCACTTGCACAAAGCCTCAGCCTTTCAGACGCATGGGGCCTGCTTACCCCCTCCCTTTATTCTGCCATTTGCTGACCTCTATCTTAATAGTGTCCCCACTTTCACTGAAGACTCATATTCTGGCCCAGGGAAGTCTGGCCACAGACTTCTCCAATTACTGAGGGTGTTCACAGACCTCAGTGACCACACAGGTGAGGCATCTGACACCCAGCTGTTAGTCCTCAGACCCCCATCCGCCCCACTCCCCCTCAGCCGCCCCCTTCCTTATCATAACCCAGCATGGCAGCACTGGGATGCCTCCTCCTCCTCCTCCTCCCAGCCCCCGTGCTTAAGTCATTAAGGAACTGTTGCAATTCTTCCCCTTCATCCAAACCCCCGTGGATTTTTTTGGACTCCCACCACTTTCTCACCGACTGTTAGCTCTGCTTCCCTCCTTATCGAATCAGGCCTCAGGAGGCCTACTCCAGTCACCTCTCAGTGGCCTCCTGGCCCTGCTGTCCCATTTACATGTCCCGAATCTCTCACCCTCCAGCTCTGTCCGCACACAAACAACTAAACAGCTGATTCAACGGAGGTGACTTTTCATTTTAAACACAGGATCGCAATCACAGAGTAACATCCACTGCAGCTTTACAATCCTGATTCTTCGACAGGCGTCCCCTCTCATTAGACGGCATTATTATTCCATGCCTTCTTTGTCCTCACACCTCACACCTCCTCTTCCCCTCTCATTCCTAGCTGGTGATCTAATCCTATTGTTTACTGAGAAAACAAGTCATCAATCTCGAATCCACTCAGCTTCCTCTGCGAAACCTACACATCCACCTGTATGCACACCCATCACCCCCCCACTGCCTCTCACAATGGAGTTAGTGTCCTACTCATATAAAAGACAATCCCCATTTGTGCTGGAGGACTTCTCTCTCTCTCTCTCTCTCTCTCTCTCTCTCTCTCTCTCTTTCCTCTTTCTCTCTCACATATATGGCCAAGATTAATTTCTCTTACAAATGAACAGTGTTTATAAATCAATAAAGTGTGACACATGAAAAGAAGCAAGAATGGCCCTAGCTGATTTTGCCCGGTGGTTAGAGCATCAGCCTGCGGAGTGAAGGGTCCTGGGTTCAATTCCGATCAAGGGCACATGCCAGGGTTGTGAGGCGTGCAGGAAGCAGTTAATCAATGATTCTCTCTCATCATTGATATTTCCATCTCTCCCTCTCTCTTCCTCTCTGAAATCAATAAAAAATGGTGTGTGTTTTTAAAGAAGCAGAAATGGCTAACGCCCTCTTCCATGAAGAGAAGCTAAACTGATCATATAACTTTAAAAGTCCACATTGACCTGTTGCCTTTTTCCTTGAGGGACCCATAGGTCTGGGTAAATTTTCCTGCCTCAGTAGTTCTTAAACTTCAGCCCGCAGTCTCAGAATTACCCAGCAAGCTTGTTAAAAATGAACTAATTCAAGGGTCCATCCCCAGATGCTGACTCAGCAAATCTGGGGTCTAGAACCCGCTTTTCCCACCCACTGGACCATATGATGTTTGGTGCAATTGACCCAAGAAATATATTTCAAGAGGCACTGCCTAGCCTTTGACATTCTCATTCCTGAATCTCACCCCAAACAGCTTCGGGCCAGCCCGTTCAGAGCATCTAAGTGCACTGTGCACATCGCATCTCTGCCACAGAGGCACTGCCACTGCCAGCGGGGTAGCCAGGGCCACACCTGAGTGACCGTCACACTGGCACTGCTGCCACTGGCGTCGAGAGCAGGAGTCACTTGCAAAAATATATATTTTTAAGAAGAAAATAGTTGCCATATATATAGCAACGATTAATTTCTCTTACATATCAACAATGTTTATAAATCCCACATAATAAATCCTCCTATATAATAAAAGGGTAATATGCAAATAGATAGAACGGCAGAACACCCGTAAAACCAATCAAAGCGTAATATGCTAATGATATGCTAAGGCTGCTCAACCATTTGCTATGACGTGCCCTGACCACCAGGGGGCAGACAGCCAACTGGTCGACTAGTCGCTATGACATACACTGACCACTAGGAGGCATATGCTCTGACAGGTAGGTCCAGCCGATTGGAACTGAGCGAGATGGGCAGGACACACCCTGGAGCCCTCCCTCCCCAGCCCGATAGTGCACAGGTGTGGTCCCTCAGCCTGGCCTGCACCCACTCACAATCTGGGATCCCTTGGGGGATGCTGAAGAGACCAGTCCCACAGGCTGCTCCCCCTGGGAGGGCGCCAGACACAGAGCTTTGGCTGGCAAGCGCTGCTGTGGCAGCCCACGCCTCTCCTGATCGGGACTGATTAGGCAGGAGCCCGTGGCAGGCACAGTGGGGCCGGGATGAGCGGGAGCAGCAGGCAGGAGCTGCAGGTGGCGTTGGACTGCGGGTTTCAGCCAATCGCTGCAGGACACCCAGAGGGACCCCAGCCGTGCACGAATTCATGCACCGGGCCCCTGGTCAATAATAAAGACATCAGTGACACAGGGGCATAAGTATGCAGCAAGTATATAGTAAGTCTACACTTGAATTAAAACAGCCCAGCTGGTGTGGCTCAATGGTTGGGGGTCAACCTAGGAGGTCACGGTTCAAATCCCAGTCAGGGCGCATGCCTGGGTTGCAGACTTGATCCCCAGTGTGGGGCATACAGGAAGCAGTCAATCAATGGTTCTCATCATTGATGTTACTTTCTCTCTCTCCCTCTCCCTTCCTCTCTGAAATCAATAAAAATATAAAAAAAATAAAATAAAAAATAAAAAAAGCTACAATAGAAGCCAGGTAATTCTTTCTGCACTCATTTGAATGGCATCCCACACCGAGGACATGAAGTCACAGAGAGAATACACCTCTGTCAGGTGTATGATTTTAGGATGTAAATTAGCATCCTTATGATATTAACAGAACTCTGCAGGGAACTGACACTTAACCTCCAGGATTTCTAACACCCACTCAATAACCCTGTGCGCTGGCACCCTTATCGCTCCACAGAGATTGGCTTTAATGAGGAGACAGGCTGTTTACCTTCAGCGCCATTATCTGGAGGTGAACAGTCAGGCATGTTTGCACAGCAGCTGCTCTAGGTCACAGCCAAGACAGGCTGTGTTTACCTGCCGTCCATCTCCCGAGGCCCATGCCAGTGGGAATCTTTCTGCCTGAGTCAACTCCAGAGCCTACCTGCCTGCTGCATCTGACAAACATAGTCTAGAACCATAAATATTTTTAACATTTCCTCTCCTCTAACTGCCCTTGGGAATTTCAGTAATACCCATCGTTAGTCTCAAACCATCATAATTAGATGGAAAATTTGCCCTAACATCATGTTCATGCTATTTGGCCTGTAGAGATTACATTTTTGTTTCTCAAAAAAGAATTTGCACCGCAACGTGTTGGATGAGATGTCTTGTATAGCATTCCTTTAAAAATACAAGCGTTAGGGCACTTACTACGTTTTAGATGAATACGATGTAGCAAATGGAAATGTCCCACTATGCTGGAAGCAGGATGAGACCACATCACAGAGGCACAAGAACAATACTGAAATGCCAAGAGCATCCCTGAAAGTCGACGGGAACTTCCCCAGGAGCGGATGAAATGCTGCTGGTTTAGTAGCAAACGCAAATAGAGAAATGTAAGTAATAGGACAAAATTCTGCTTGCAGAGCCAGCTATTGAGCTCAATAATTTAGTAAACCTATAAAATAGGTGTGTGATTTTTTAAAA